GCTGATCTCATTGGGTGCATCTCACGACATCAGCCTGACAGTTAACCCCATCTCAATAATGAGAATCTCTGCAGATGCAGGAGTAGGGCAGTGGAGGCTGTCAGGTGAGGCTGCATGCAAGGCTTGGAAACACCACTGTCCCAAGGCATGTGTCCTGGGGAAAATGTCTTTGCCTGTGGTGTGGAACTGATAACAAATACCAGCTACTTCACAGGCTTGTGAGGATTTGCTAGAATAAAGTGTGCCACACACTCAACACGGAGGCATGCACAGAGCCAAGGCACCACTAAATATGTCTGAACTGTGCTGGTGTGAATTATAGAGCTTCAGTCTCCATCCGACCCTCAGATCGTCTACACGAGGGGCTCTGAATGATTCTATCGAGAAGTTTGAGGTGCCGATGGCAGCGGTGTATCTGGACAACTGTGGTGTTAACAGTTTTGAAATTATGTGGGATATTTTATGAATGTTTGCTGTTTTTGTGACTCAGATTCATGGTTTTCATCAAGTTTTCTCAGGTTCCTCATGCAACTTTCCCTGATCATCGCTACCATGACACTCTCTGGGAGTAATGAGTTTATGCCCTCATGCAGTTTTGAAGACATATTTAGATAAAATGGTTACCTAAAAGGCACCTGGTTTTATGTTGAGCTGTTCGCCTTGAACATTGAACTCTTTATAAAAAGATGAGGCTTTGTGGTGGGGGTGGGGTGGGGGGGGAATAAATATTGCAGGCTGTCAAACTCAGAAGCACCAGCATAGATTGTGGCTTCTTCAACTCAATTGTCGGAAGGTTGTCTGTGTCCCACTTACTTTTCACAGCTTAATTTTCTTAAGGTGGTGTAGTTTTGAACACAGTTCTTAAAGACCTCTTTAGGGAAGTGGGATCTTTTCAAAGAGAAGGGGAAAGTCTAAGGGATATCTTCCTTTTCTGTTTAGTTCTATCAGCTCTCACCCTAATTCTGGAATGGACCTTGGTTATCCCCAGTGGTCTTTTTAAACTTTTTTTTTTTTTTTAACTTTCAATTCCTCTGTGGCAATCTCATTTGTTGGCATAGTAAAGTGATGACTTTTCTCACAAAAGATATTAGAAGATATTTATTAATTAAATATCACACTTGTAAGACACATAGGTGCCTGAGGAGGGTGGCCACCAATCATCTAGATGCTCTTGGCCCATAATGAACATGCTTGTCTTTGAAAGAAGGAGTGGAGTCTGTGGCCCCCCCCCCCGTGATTCTAACTAGAAGAGACTAGCAGGATAGACTAGAAGGATTGCATTTTTCAAAGCTTCTCTGTATTGCATACCTTAGCTGTGTGCCAAGAAGTGTGCTACATAATCTTTCTCAGTTTTCACAGCCGTATGAGGTAAACATGTTTCTTATCCAGAACTGACAGAAAGGGAGCCCTGAGAGAGGTTGCCCAGCCAGACTGGTGGAGTAGAATTAAAGTTCGGGTCTTCCTTGAATTTGTAGTCCTTGAATCACTGTGTGCAATGCCAGTGGGCTGTAAAATCCTTTTAAAGTTACCATTGTGACTGAGATAGTGTCTGCAAGGGTATTGGACTGGATGGTTCTGAAGGACCACCCAGCTCTGATCGATGATTCTAAGTAGGCTGCATTTAAAGAGCACTGCCATTCACTTGAAATGAATCTGTGATTGGCTCGATCCGTCTCTTTTAATGCTTACAGTTGTAATTTGGTGGTTCTTAAGCAATTTATGAGATTGTGCTCACCATTCCCACAGGCTGGGCATTTCAGAAACACACAGTTCTAGAAGACACAGTCCTTGTACTGAAGGAAGAGTAGAGTGGGACCGAGGAATGTGCACACACAACCCCAGCAGCGGGCATAGAATGATGGAGTAAGAAAGGACTTTGGGATTCTGAGGCCAGAGAGACCGAGGCATTTGCAGGGAGAAAATCCTCTCATCAGGAAAGGAATCCAGTCATAGGCAGATTGTACCAGTGGCACAGTGGTGCTGGCTGGTCATAACCACAGAGTTCCCCCCTCTTCTTGCTTAGGGACCAGTGAACTTGGACACACTGGTGGTTCTATTCTTTCACAGGGCATGCAGTCAAGATCATAAAGGAGGGCCATGTCCTAATAAGCCTCTCGTTTCTGACCCCCTGAAGTCAGACAGCACCTAAAACCTCCAGTTCTCTACCACCCCTTCTCTTCCGATCCCTCATGCTGTAGAGTTTTGACTGAACAGGGGGGAAAAAAAACTAGTTGTCTGGGCTCAAATGTGCAAAATAATGCAGGGAGAGGGGTTAGTAGCCAGGCCAGGGCTTCAGCTTTGGGCTTGCTTTCGTGCATGTATCTAAGAAGAAGGTGGAGAATTAATTTTGAAATTCCACTCCCAGTTTGGCTGTCTCCCTTCTTTGCTTTCCAAGTAGAGGAGGGTTTCCTCCACATTTCCCCGTAGTCTTCCTTAGAAGAGAATGGGATTTGTGCTTCTTTACTGCAGACAGAACCATGACATCAGACAGGCTCTCTTGGACAATAAAAGTAGCATGAATAGTAAACCACCACAGTAGATAACAAATGATACATCTACCACGTGCTAGGCCTTTTCCGCAGGCTCCCTGGGAATAGCATTTGACTCATGATTGGAGTGCATGTCTCTTAACCTCTGTGCTTGCCTGCACCCATGTGGTTCTCATGGCCGAACAGAAGACCCACCCGTGACATTTGGCAGGCAGACCCAAGACGGGTCCCGAGCCCAGACCTACCAAATCAGTCCTACTGAAGGATTTCCTGGGTTTGGGGATCTGAATGTGTGACAAAACATCCTGAAAGATGCGTGACTCAGCCAGGGTTGAGAACTGCTGATTTCAGTGTCCTCCACCAGCTCTTTCTACTTCCATAACAGATTTGTTCGCTTGCTTCAGTTCATTGCTTATGACAGGCCTGTTCCCTTGGCACTTGGTCAGCCCCGAGTGATCACTCCTGAGGGTCCATCGACCCTCCTCTGTGCTGTGTGTGGCGCTTCCTGCTGGCTCCACTGGATTTTCACTTGAAACTGTCTGGGCCTTGTCACTCTTTTACGTCAGCAAGTGTGTGTCTTTCCAACCAAATAGAAAACTTCTGGAAGGCAGCAACAGTCATTTCCCTTTCCTTCTAATGGTCTCCCTTTGTCTGTGTCTGTCTTTCTCTCTCTCCCTCTTCACTCCAACACACAGTGGGAGCTTATCTGATCTGTTGGTTATTTCTAAAGTGAGGTAGAAATGTTCCCCCCAAAGGAACCCCCAGTATACCTCCATGAGGTGGCAGCACTGGCCTTGGGGCGGCTGATCTTGCCTGCCGAGACCTTCGTGGCCGCTGACTCTAAGGAATCACTACTGGTTTCCAGAGCTCCCTGTGCTTTGGCAGATTTTAACTGAATTGCTTTGATTGCACAGTGGTAACTCGCAACACAAAGCTCCTGTGAGCAACTTACTTTCCCTCTTCGCCTAAAGACTCCAGCTGTTTATAGGAATTGCTAAACCAGGCTGTTGGAAGTGTTCGCTTCTTTTTCTGTAGTTTTTTTCTGGAGCATCTAGGAAGGCCATATTTTTCTTTCCAAACATACCCACGGAAAAGTTAGAGGCACTTTTTAAAAGATGGCTTCCCCACAATTACCTATGGTAAAAAGTGCTCTTCTCATGTTATATTCCTTCTTCAGACCCATAAGAGAAGGGACAAGAAGAAAAAATGGTGAAGAACTGCTTAGTGATCCCTGAACTCAACAGGCGCTAGTGGGCAGCACTAGAACCTTCCTGCTTTTCTTTTAATGCAATTCCTTTTTCTTGATGTTAATGCAAGTTGTGCCCTCCTAAAAGTAATAAAAGGAAATGAAGACACGTTCTGAAATGAAACTTGACTCTAATCCATTCATCATCTAATACTTGCCTCTTTATCTTCGCTGGTACCTAATCTGGTTAAATGTCCCTGTTGTAGGATTTTAGTGAAAATCCTCTATGGGGAATAGGGTTTTTTGCAGTTGGATTACTCTCAGTAAATGGCCCAGTAGTTCGCTTGTTTCAGCTTAATTTTTTCTTTGTGATCTTGCTGGGCTAAATTGTAGCACAGCATAGTGGAAGGGGGAGGGGGAAGAGAGGAGAATAATTTGGGGAAGCCTGGGCACGACACATTTAGAAACATATTTAAAATGCTTTTCTCCCCTGCCACCCCCACTGAGCCACCCTTCCCAAATACAGAAATGCCTGTACTTTGTTTTCTAGAACTGCCCATTTCTAAAATGCATACCTTTTATTAGCCCAATTCATCATCATCCAGTTAATTTATTAGCGTTCCCAGATGACTCACTAATGAAATTCCTAATGAATCAGGGCTGCTGTAATCTGCATAATATATGCAGGTGCTTGCCGGGCAGTTTAGAGCTCTCTGGTAAAGTTCATACTCCCACCCAAACCACGAGTGGGTTTTTCATCCATGCTGTCTGTAAAGGACTGTAGCATGCCCGCTGTTTCTAAGAACAGGGAGGGGTTAGGACCTGGGAGTGGTGAATGAGACGTGGGATTTGGGCCCTGCCAGGTTTCTTGTAAGTGATGGTTTTCCTAACCGGTCCCCTGTTACAGCCTGCCTGCCTCCTGGAGGTCCCACCAGTGGGGTCTAGGGGTAGGTGATCCCTCCCACAAGCAGGAACACAGTAGGCCTGGGAGTTTAAAGTTCCCACTTCCGACTCGCCTGCCAATGGAAAAAGTACAGACTTTTGGGCTCCAAGACGGAGTGGTGGTAGAGAAGGTATTTTAAAAGCCAGACTCAGTGAGAAGGTAAAAACTGAAGCAGACCCACCCCAGAGAGAGCTGTCTTACAACTATCAGTTATTTTTAAATGGATAAAGCGGGAGGGCTGGATGTGGGCAGAGTTGAGTGCATCTTACAAAATCAAGGTAGGAGGGTGTTGTCAGGAGAACCCACTGGCCCTGTGCTCTGAAGTCTTAGGCTGCTGGACCCAGCTTGATGGTGTCTTTCTCTGTTCTTCTCCTCCCCACAGTCGAACAAAGTGCCGGTGGTGCAGCACCCTCATCATGTCCACCCCCTCACGCCTCTTATCACGTACAGCAATGAACACTTCACGCCGGGAAACCCACCTCCACACTTACCAGCTGACGTAGACCCCAAAACAGGTAGGCTTGGGGACCAAGACAGAGTGCTGGTCCCAGGCTCTAGAGGACCTGTTGAGACCTCCACAGGAAGCCCAGGGTGGGGGTGTGGGCCTAGGTGGGAACAGGGGTGAGGGGGCTCCTAGTCCTCTCCTGGGTGCTGGTGAGAGAGTGGTTCTCCTCTCGCCTTTGCAGAAGTCCATTTGTAGAGCTAAAGATCTCTTGAGAGCTCCGAGGATCCCTGGAGGGGCTGTCTTGGGTACCTAGACATGAGTCCCTCAGTAGTTTTTAGGAGTGACTTATAACTCGAAGATCCTCAAGCAGGCTCAGAAGCAGGAACCCAAGGCATCTCATGGGCTCCTTGTCACCTTCCTGGGAGGATGAGACACCTAACAGCCTAGCTCCCCTAAGCTGTTGTTGGCCAAGGGTCTTCATTCACTTGACCATGACTTGTTTGTTGGTGCACCCTCAAAAGACCACGTTGCAGGGTTATGTGTTCTCTTTACTGATTTATTTGAGTTCTTCTTCTCCTGCAATGTTCTGGGTATTGTTGAACCCGTTTTACAGATGTGAATACTGAAGTCCAAGGAGGTTGCCTCATTTCTTCAGAACAGCTCACAGGGTCTCAGGTAGAAGTGGCTGTGTTATCCTTCAACCTTTATAGTTCTCTCTTTCTATCCCACTTGTTCATTGACTACATTTTTCTCAAAGGGAAGAGGGAGAAAAGGCAGGGTTATTTAGTAGCTTTTTTTTTTTTTCCTTTTGAGTTGGAGTCTCACTCACCCAGACTGGAGTGCAGTGGCACGCTTCTGGCCACCGCATTCTCAAGCTGCTGGGCTCTGGCGATCTTTCTGCCTCAGCCTTCCAAGTAGCCGGAACTACAGGCACGTGCTGCCACATCCAGCTAATTTTTGATTTATTGTAGAGACGAGGGCTCACCAGTTTGCCCAGGTGGGTCTCGAACCCACGGGCTCAGGCAATCCACTCGTCTCGGCCTCCCAAACTGGTGGCCAGTAGCCTTTTCTTGAACAGGATCTCAATCAGGCCGGCAGCCCCAGCTCCTGGCTGAGGTGGTTTTGGGAGAACAGGTAAGGCCAGCATGTGTCTAAGGCTGCCCAGCATGTGGATAGGGGTTCCTCTTCCCAGCCTGTTAATTGGAAGGATGGAGTTAAAATGGCAAACCCACGTCACTTTGTCAGAGGGAATTGTTAGTGTTGGACTGAGGTAGGTTGCCTGGTTAGCAGCCTTTGCTGCCCCTGAAAGAAGTCCCACATTGCTGGTTTTCACTGGCCTCTGAGCCCCTTTGTGCTAGTGCAAGACTGAGCCTGGTGGTGGGATGACTGGCGGCCTCCTCCAGCCGGCCCCCTCCAGCCGGCCCCAGGCTCCTGGAGTGAGTGGCAGCGTCAACGTCTCATTTAAATAATGGTAGTACAGGGAATAGCTTTTAAATGGTTATCGTAAAACATATGATTAACGTCTGTGGACTGTTTACTTTTCCTCTGCGAACATTCTTTCAAGTGTGCAAATGGCTTGGTGTAGGGTCCAAGCCTAGCTAATCTGTTTGGTTTTTGTAATAGAGAGAAAGCAATGTCTGCATAAAATGTCACCCAGGGAGACTTAATTTACAGATTAAAAGCTTCCTGAATGAATTAAAGAAAATGAAGTCATTTTCATCCACTAACATGTAGCTCGTTCCCTTCAATACTCTGTTTTAATTCTGTGGGATTGTGCATTTTGCTCCCCATTTCAGTTGTGTAGATCAGTTCCTCTCTGTCAAAATTGCTTCTGGTGCTCTTGCTTTCTAAGAATGAATTGCAGGTGTGCTCCTGGAATTAGAACGTACAGCGGTGCGTCCCTTCACAGTTCACATGTGTGTGCCTCATTCAGCTCTTAGGCCCTGTGATACATGAGGTGCCCAGTCAGCAGGTGGGGTTAGTGCCCACAGGTGACTCTGTCCTCTAGTGAATGAGAGTCCAGAATTGAGTACACCAGGCCACATCTCCAGTTCTAATTCTACCATGGCAAAGATACCATAGGGTATTGGGCCATTTTCTCTAGCTCATCTTCTAAGGGCAGGTGGAGGCATTCTGGAGGAGTTACCCTTTTGGAAAGAAGACAAGGCTCGCCTTTTGAAAGCCATAGTTCAAGAAGTGTGTTAGAGATCAGAGAAGCGACTCTCATGCAGTCAAATCATTAGAATAGACAGGGGTGAAGAAACCCATCATAAGGACCAAGGGTGTTACTATTGCTTGACCACCCAAGATGTGCCACGCCCTAAAGATGTTGAGGTTTTTTTCTTAAATTTCAAAGAATCACACCAAATCACATGAGGCAGAAATACCCAAGATGGCATTTTCTGAGACTGTCGGATCTCCCCAGTATAACAATCCATCTGGAATGAGATAAACTAATTTTCAAGATGAGGCTGAGGGAAAATGAGACAAAACCTACCACGGTCATCATTGTGAAAGAATCTCGTGCTAGGATTCCAGAAGAGATGTGTCTCTTCCTCCTTTCCCTGCTCCCACCCCCTGACATTTGCTCTTTCCTTCTCTCCCTCCTTTATACCTAAAATGCTGCTTCTTCTCTCAGGAATCCCACGGCCTCCACACCCTCCAGATATATCCCCGTATTACCCGCTATCGCCTGGCACCGTAGGACAAATCCCCCATCCGCTAGGATGGTTAGTACCACAGTAAGGAGTTCCATTTTTTAATTTCCTTTTCGTTTTTTACATGGGCATGCTTATTATTTATTCTGTGTATGTATGTGTGTGTGTTAGAAGATGGGGTGGGGCGGCAGTTGGAGGGCACAGAGAAGGCACTGCTGAAGTGTCCTGTGGGGATGCAGACAAATCAGTAGCCATTTGGGTGGATTTTGTAGGAAAGGGGTTCCTGGTCCTTAGTATTCAGAACTCATGGTCCTCAAAGGCTCTGTGGTACCTTAAGATACTTTGAGAATTGCGGAAGGCTCCTAGGGCTTCTACCCAATGAAGCTGGTTATGACTCTTCTGCTAGTGGCATCTCAGACTGGAGTCTTTTCTTTGAGGTGTGGCATATTTGGGGTCACAGGAGTGGGAACGGAACGAGCTGCTGGCTTTGAAACCAAGGGCAGGGAGTGGGGCTTACGTATTACCTTACAATTATTGTACCCCTAGCCCCACCCCAAACATTATTCCCAAGGTTCATAGCAGCAGTGGAAAGTTATGTCTGTTGAGACACTCCCTGTGATTTAACCCCCATCTCTCAGAGAGTCTTTGCATGTCAAAGGGTGGGGGTGGGGCAGCTGGACCCCTCACTCCAGCATGTTGGGGCTTCCTAAGTATCAGCTGTAGTTCCTGGCAATGCCTAGATAATTTGACTGCCTTTTACAACTTTTTTTTTAAAAAATGTGCTTTAAAATTAAAGTGCATAAGCATACTGTGTGGGTTTGTGTGTGTGTGTTTGCAGAAGCATGCATGTAATAAGTGTTTTGAGATTGTATGTTTCTGTGGATATGTTTCTCCATGTTTATAAGTGATCTCTACTCTAAAAAACACAGGACAATATGTTGAATGCTAAAAGGAATAAATCCTGGTAAAACTCTTGGGAAAGACAGCCTTTTTTATAGACTTAAAAGAAAGTCAAATTTGGTGTAGGTCACTCCCCAGTTCTACCCTTGTTTCTCTAGTTGAACAGCCTATGCTGCCTTTTTTTTTTTTTTATTAAAAAACAGATTGCATCGTGTACCAGATACCAACCCTGGGTGTAGTTTCTCTCTTTTTTGTTTTCTCCTTATTTTTGTTTGGAAGGTGGACATGAACATTAGCTTGTGACCCATTTCTTTTTAAATAGATGAGGCCATTCCTCGAATAGTTCTCAGTCATCATTTGCCCCATTCAGCTGATGGGGAAATATTTGAAGGCTAGATAAAAAGGAATAGCCAACTCAGACAGCCCTCTGTCAGAAAAAGTTGTGTGTCTTTCATGAGGATGCTATTTTGCATGTTGCTGTATTTTTTAATTATTGTAATGAGGTGTGATTGTCTATTGGTTACCCACAATTCTTCTTGGGGACTCTCCCCCCGGTAACTCTTGTCAACACTTGTTAATTTGACAAAAGGCTACAAATTAAGCTCTGTTAATTTAATGTTTTCTCACCGAGATCTAAATACCGAAAGAGGCCCAAAGCGCAACTGAAGTCCTTTGATTCACTGTACTTTATTTTGGTATAAATTTACATTCATTATTGTTTTCCTTTGGATGTGTAGCCCTCAATTAGTGTGATGGCTCCATTAAAGCAAGCGAGACTTCGCCTTTAATTATTACAACAAAACACCTAGTTTCAGCTTGGGGAGAGGGTCTCTATTGACATAAGCAGAGGTTATAAAATTTAATTAGCCATTCCTATCAGATTTATGGCATTCAAATTGTTCTGTGTTTCTTCCCTTTGATCCTTCCTGTATAATCCCCAAGATTTTTGTTCTGATCAAATGAGAATAAAGCTTACTGTGCAGAGAGAACTTTTCCCTTTTCTTCTTTTTCTTGTCCCACCCCCACCCTTGTTTCGAGTCTCTCACTTTGCACCCCTTCTTTGTAGGCAAGGTCAACCAGTGTACCCAATCACGACAGGAGGATTCAGACACCCCTACCCCACAGCTCTGACTGTCAACGCTTCCATGTCCAGGTGAGTTCCAAGAACCACGGCCTTCAACCAAGGCTATGGGTGACTTCTCAGAAAGTTCTCTAGTTGGCCACCAAGACACCCAGGGACTGCAGCTGCTTGTAGTTCTAATAGTTTAAAGCCAATGTGGCATTAGGCTGTCGTTCTAGAAAATACTGAAAAATTGCTCTGAACTTCCAAGGTAAGTGATGTCTTCCAAGGTCAAATTTTTTAGTCAATCAGTTGACTAGTATTTTCAAAGGAAGAAACAGCAGGACATGTAGAGCTTTTGAAAATGTCATTTCTCTATTGTCCGAAACTGGACTAGAAAGGAAGGGGTGGAGATAATTTTATTATTATGCAAAGAAGAGTTTGAGAAAAGATTATTGGTGTTTTCAGAGCTCAGACTCTGATCTAGAGTCAACAAGAAAGCATCCCTCTCCCACCATCTAAGGTGGCACATCCAATAGAAATATACTGTGAGCCACAGAGGGAATTTTAAATTTTTGTAGTAGCCACAGTTTTTAAAAGGTTAGAAAAAGTTGAAACTGTCTTTGGTGATAAGTTTTAGTGAACCCAGTATAGCCAAAATGTTATTATTATTTCAATACATTGTCACTGAAAAGCAACTTTAATGAGATGTTACTTTCTTTATTTACCTAGTTTCTGTAATCTGATGTTTATCTTAGACTTACAGGACATTTCAATTTGCACTGGCTACATTTCGAGTACTCAGTGGCCACACATGGCTGGTGGCTTTCATAGTGGCCTGTGTAGCTCTAAATCTTTCAAGGTTAAAAAAAAAAAATCATGAGCGTAGTGTACATTCATATATATGTATTTCTATTTAAGCATATAAATATATGTCCAAGACACACACATATCCCCATGTTCTCCTTTTCCTTCCTCTGATTAATTCTGGCTAATTTTTCAGTGACTGCTAGTTTATTTACAAACTGGTTGGCAGCAGTATGTTTAAGTAGTCACTAATTGCTCCTAATGATAGTTTTATTTGCTGTTCATCTGATTTTCAGTCAAGTTAATTAAATCGGTGGAGGTTTAGACTCTCCTGATGGACTGAAACAACCAATCCGTTTTGATGATGGCACATAATTAAATTAGCATGCATTACATGGCAAGGATGCTGTCCACCAGCCTCTTCTCCCAATCTCTGTGTCCAAGATGGGGAGCCAAGACCAGAGAAAGGTCTGGAAAGACAGGCCAAGATGCCTCTTTTCTTACTTACAAAGCAGCGATTTTGGCAGAGAGAAAGAATCGCTTTCATTAAGAAACACAAACTGTAGCATTTCTAGCATTTGTAATTCTGCCATGGATATCATATAATTGTAAAGATCCATTCCTATGGGTGCTACATCATCAACATTTCAAAATCTACGCCAGTATTAGTTAGGCGGGAAAACACCCGTGTGTTCTCCTGTCTGGCAAGAAGAGGAAGGTTACACTCATTAAATAATGTCATCACAACCTTGCCAAGCATGGGAACGAATAGGGAGTCTCCCAGGAGGAGGGCTGCTTCTGTGCAGCTTCTAGTCTGGAGCTCGTCCTCCCACCATCCTGGCACTTATGTCTTGCACCTGGTTATTTTTCATGTTTGTTTATTCCAGAGGTTAAATGTGGTGTAGTAATCGCAGGACAGGGATTGGGGTTAAGCTTATCGATTGAATTATCATTAGGAGGTTAGTCAGTGATTTATAGGTGGGCAGGGAGGTGGAGGAAAGGAAGGGAACGGTAGGAAGAAAGGTTAGGGGCTTGAGGTGCAGGGAGAGGCGGCCGATTCCCCAGGTAGGCTGTATGAAAGGTAGCTAGTTAAAAAGCGTATACAGCAAATTAAATACATTATTGTGGTAATGGGGCGACAGAAGTATAGGTCTATTATACTTATGGCAGTTATAGCAAATGTAGGCAGCTTGCCCTGTTCCAGAACACCCTTTGATATTCATTCTATTCAGCAGTGGGGCCAGGACTTCTCAGAATTAAGTGATGGGTCATTATACTTTAAACACCATGGAGAAGCCTAGATTGGCAATTAAACAGCTCTTGCTGACACTCACTTGTGCCACCCTGTGACCCCCTTTAGATTGAGATGTTGGAGCTCCGGGCCCTCAGCCTGCTAAATTGGTGCAAGGCTCTTCTCCTGACGAGAGCCGGCTCTGAAATCTGCCGGCTTCAAAGGGAGTGAGATCATGTATAAACCATAATGTGGGTGCACCGTGGCTCACAAAAAATAAGGCAGGAAGAGATGAAATGTTACAAGTGCAAGGGGGAAAATGAGAGAATAATGACAAACCTAATGCAACTCAAAGCAGGATTGTTGCACAGGAAAATGCATCCTACTGCTTGTGCATAAAATCAAGGCCGGCAGATGACATCCAGTTAACAGAAACGTGTCAGCAGTGAAGTAAAGTGAGAGTGAGTAAGAGAGAAGCCCCTGAGACAGCCAGAAACAAAAATTAGTTGTCCTTAACAAGTTAAGGTTCATCATTATATTCTGGCTTGGAGCCATGAAAGCAGACGGGGGTATATAATGAGCTGCTTAGAATTTTTAGGGTGTTTATTGCATTTCATGAAACAGTTGTCTGCAGAAAGGAATTTCCTAAGTGAAGGTATGCACACAGCCTGAGTTCACATGGACACACAGTCTCCTTCTGTGCTGTACATTTTTCAGATATGGGACAGTATGTGGAGGTATGGGAACTTGGAAACATTCCTTCTCCCTGGCTGCACTGGAAGTTTGTCCCCATGATATTTGGTGTATGTACACATACATACACATACACTCACACACACAGTGTTTTTCTCTCTCCCTCGCCGTCTGTACACATATTCTTAATCTGCAGGAAGGGAACATATGTATTTGAGGAATGTCAGGCCTTTAAAATTCACAGTAAAAGCTGCCACCCACCACTTCACCCAAGGGTTTCCAAGAACACATGTTCTTAACTTCTGTTTCCTCTGATGCCTTTAAGCAGTGGGAAGAAGCAGGGTGTCACTTGGGAGCCCAAGTGCCTCCCAAGGGTTTGAGCCTTCCCTGCCCCCCATTTTTTTAAGTGAAAGGGGTGGAGGGAGGTTGTTTCTTTCCTTACTTTTTCCTTCCCTCTCTTGTTTAAAAACAAAAGTACCCTAAAAGGACTTACATGATTCTTATTTTTAAAAAATCATGTCATTGTCACCAAGCTTCGAAACTGGCTTAAATTTGTCAAGGCAGTGGCAGGAGAGGCCACATTGGGATAGAATTTCTGAGTGAAATGTCTCCTGTAGCTTTGGGCACCCTTCTAAAATCAACATTCTTCATTGATGATTTTTTCCTCCATTGATCTATGTTGATTCTGTTTTATAAAAAATTGTTTTAAAATTAATTTTTCAAATTAGGTTTTGTTTTTTTTTTTTGAGTTAGAGTCTCACTCTGTTGCCCAGACTGGAGTGCAGTGGCCGCTCCCAGCCACCACAGCCTCGACCTGCTGGGCTCCGGTGATCCTTCCACCTCAGCCTTCCAAGTAGCCGGAATACAGGCGTGCACTACCACGCCCGGCTAATTTTTTTGATTTTATTGTAGAGATGAGATCTCGCCTGCTCAGGCGGGTCTTGAACCTGCGGGCTCGGGCAATCCACTCACCTCACAAATTAGGTTTTGTTACATTATTTTGTCTGAATGGAAACCATCTCCAATCCACATATGGAAAGAACCTTACAAATAAATACAAGATTCCTTTGAAAGAACTGTCCTGATGAAACCTCATTAGGGCCCCTAGTTCCCACCAGAGTTGATTTTCTAAGAGCAGGCTGTTACTCCCTGACTGGTATGTTTTGGTTTGGATTTATTAAGAAAGCAACAATGTCACCATCCCTATCTGAATAGCTTCCCATCTGTTCATTCAAATAACCTTACCTGGTTGGAGCAAGTGGTTGCCATTTTGTTTTCTTTTGGGCTTCTGCCTTTTCCTTTCACTCTAATTTTCTGTACAGTAGGATATGTTACTTTAAGAGAGTTGTTTCTTCTAGCCCAGTATAAATTCTGGTGACCCCAAGCATAACTGAAAATGTGAAAACTATCTGCCCGATCTGGTTGTCAGATCGCAGATGGGCCAAGAGTGGTTTGAAATCAGCTCTTGTTGGGAAATGCCCATTCAGGGACTAACATGTGTTTTAGAGAACTGTCCTAAAATTGAACAGTGTTGGAGGAGTACACACAAACTTAATCTTTTCTTTATAATTTTGGTAATTATTTAGAAGGCTCTTTAATGATGCATAGATAACATATTAAGTAGAAGTGGTTTAGGAATCATAATTTTCATGGAGAAAGGACATACACATCAGAATTCAAAGATTAATTTTATGTGTGTGTGTTTTTTTGGCATCTTTTCATAAAGGGGTACAAACTTATTTAAGATGTCTGTGACTTATGATAAGAACCAAACAGGGAATATTTGAATTTTTCCCTGTCTTTCTGCTTCACTCTCTCCCACTCCTGTCAAACGATGGGACACAGCAACAAAAGAAAAATAAAAATTTTATTGCACTCCATCAACAGAATGAGGCCTAATGAGGCATGCACAGCATTGTCAAAAATGTATGTATATTTCAGACACGTTAATATTTTATTTAGCTGTCAATATACAACAAAAGATTTCACCTTTCATTTTAGAGCTGATTAGGACTTAGGAAATTGTCTTCTTAGATGCCACTAATAATGCCTCAAAAAACAAGTGGACGTGCCATTTCCGGCAGGTAGTCCAAGCCCACTTTTCCACCCAAGTACATCAGTTGAATTTGTCCTTTGCTAAAGATGTTAAAAATCGTAATGTCTCATGTCAGTAGCTATAATGAAGGGGAAGATTGGCTTTAATGACATTATGAGAATCATTATGTTTAATTTATCACTAATTAATGCTGACAGGTTTTATATGCCTTGGGTTACTTTCATGTGAGTGTTACGTGCTTTTTTTTTTTTTTTAATTGTGTGTACACATCCCTCCTCATTCATTCATTTTGATTCTGACGATTTACACAGCTTTCTGTCTTCTAGGTTCCCTCCCCATATGGTCCCACCACATCATACGCTCCACACGACCGGCATTCCCCATCCGGCCATAGTCACACCAACAGTCAAACAGGAGTCGTCCCAGAGTGACGTCGGCTCCCTCCATAGCTCGTAAGTGTCGCTGTTTCAGTCGCTTTCTTCTCAGCCACGGTGTTGAGCAAGCCCGCGTCTGCTGCTGAGTGGTGGCTCTCGCCTGGGGTTAGGCTCGCTTGGTTTGACTCCAGCAGACACCCGGCCTGTAGGGGCCCTGCGCTCCCTCGTAAAGTGGGGGGCGAGGCACAGCGGTGGAGTCTCCCTGCCTGTCCCACTGCGGGTTGGAACAGAACTCTTTTTCTGTGTGTGTACTTGGATACCCTGGGGTTTGCAACCACTTCCCTGCCCCGTAGCCACGTAACTGAACATTTGGAGCTTTGTTCTGCAGGCACGAGAGAACCCTGCCGAGGTGGACAGTAACAATGTGCTTTCCCCTCTGGCCTGGGAAAATTGCATGCTTGTGAAACTTGAGGAAGTGATTACAAAATCCCTCTCTGGCCCCACGCCCTCCCCAAGCTATTTTTGTTCCATTTTCCGGGGTGAAGAAGACTAAAAGTGGAAGCATGCTTTTTGTGCAGAACTACCAGGCTTGGGTGTTAGGGGACAGGGAGATGTACTCTCTGCTGAGGAGGAAGTTGGACCGTGTGATTGTTTATTGGGTTGTGTCTGTTTTGTCTATATCCAGAAAGCATCAGGACTCCAAAAAGGAAGAAGAAAAGAAGAAGCCCCACATAAAGAAACCTCTTAATGCATTCATGTTGTATATGAAGGAAATGCGAGCAAAGGTCGTAGCTGAGTGTACGTTGAAAGAAAGCGCAGCCATCAACCAGATCCTCGGGCGAAGGGTAGGTGACTCCTGGGGAGGAGGCGGGGAAGAATGGACTAGAATGCAGCAGGTCATGTGGCAAAAGTCTCTGAGAATCTCTTGCCTTCAGCCACATTCTGAGTCCTTGAATGGCCTTCATTGAGTCAGAACCAGTGATTCCGCATTCTAATGGCATTCAGAGCAGCCACAACCACAGCCTGCCTCCTCCCCCAGAGAGAGAACAAATGATAGAATGACACAGATGACAAGTCAGGTTTTGTCTGAGCACTCCTATTAGTACCAGGAGCCAGCAGACTGTCAGTATGTACAGATTATACCATTTCTGGATGGATTCGCCCCCAAAAGGAGTATTTTTCATTCCCTGACTGTGGTGTTGTGATGTTTTTCTTGTCTTTCTCACCCCCACCCCATGTCCCCTCCAGTGGCATGCACTGTCCAGAGAAGAGCAAGCAAAATACTATGAGCTCGCCCGGAAGGAGCGACAGCTTCACATGCAGCTGTACCCCGGCTGGTCCGCGCGGGATAACTATGTAGGTGGATCATTTTCCTCGGGACTAGAGTCTGTAGAGATGGGTTGTATGTTCGTACAGACAAAGAAAATGGTTTCTGCCAACTGGAATTGAGCCTATTCAGTCTGCTCATTCTGGGGGCCATTAGCATCTTGCCAGGTCACCAACCTGCAGGGTTTGTCCTGGCTTCCAATATGGGTGGCTCTCTCAGCATGCAATCATTCTTCAGGGAGGAGGCTGGTGTTTTGCTCAGCCCTTGAGGTGTTCAGGATCCTTGAGATCAACCTGCGGCTGTCCATACCTGCTTACCCACTTCTTATTTTTTCACTGTATTTTATTTATTTATTTATTTAGAGTCAGAGTCTCACTCTGTCACCCAGGCTGGAGGGCAGTGGCACGCTCACGGCCACTGCAGCCTCCACCTGCTGGGCTCAGGTGATCCTTCTGCCTCAGCCTCCCAAGTAGCTGGAACTACAGACATGTGCCCCCACACCTGGCTAATTTTTCTTGATTTATTTTAGAGGTGAGGTCTCCCCAGGTTGCCCGGGCTGGTCCCGAACCTGTGGGTTCAGGCAATCCTCTTACCTCGGCCTCCCAAATTGCTGGGATTATAGGCATGAACCACCATGCTCAACTGCTTGTCCACTTCTTAGAGAAGGCAGGGCTCTAAGACATGCCTGGAGGAGCTTAGGTTCCAGACTGGGTTCCCCAGGCTTCTCTGCAGCTATCAGTGGTGTGGCCTTCTAGGGAAAACCAGTGGGGAGAAGTGGAAAGAAAGCGTAATTCCTTCCAGTTCTTCTAGCAGGGCCTTTATCCTTGAGAAGGAAAAGCAAGACTATTGCCTTGTGTCATGGTGCAGTTGAAGTCAGAGGCCTCTTTCATCCTAAGAGGGACCTGATGGGAATATCCCTGAAAGTAGCCAATGGAAGTCATTCTTGAGCAGGATAGATGACTGACTCAGGGAAAAGGTGTGTGTTATGTATTGTGTGTATTCCCCAACGGGCACAGTGACTCAAGCCTGTAATGCCAGCACTTTGGTAGACCAAGGTGAGGGAATTGCCTGAGTCCATGGGTTCGAGAACAGCCTGGGCAACTTGGCGAGACCTCTTCTCTACACTAAATTAAAAAAAAAAAAATAAGCTGGATGTGGCAGCACACGCCTGTAGTTCCAGCTACTCAGAAGGCTGAGGAGGATCGCCAGAGGCCAGCATGTCGATGCTGGGGTGGCTGTCGCCTGGGCGACGGAATGAGACTCCAACTAAAAATGTGTGTGTGTGTGTGTTCCTGGTCTCTGCATTGACTACAGAATTTGCCTAATTTCCTCTCTCAGGTTTTAGAAAACACTGTAGGGTGATATTTTTTACTAATTGCAGTTATTGTAACCCCACGATTCTGCTCATTCCATATACTCATTATCCTCTGGAGACTTCAGTTTCTTCTCACCATCATTGATTTTCCTACATCTTGTCCAAGAGCTCAAGTTCTAGGTTCTTTCCTGTTTAGGTGAATGAGATGCCTCGTGTTTTGCCTGATACCTTATTACATGGCATTTGATTCTGTGAAGTGATTTGATCATCCACTCTTAAGGGAAAAACAAAACTTGTCTTAAGGCTAGCACAGGCTTCTCCCCCTCTTCTTGTCTATGTCATGGAGCCATATGACTGTGAGTCTTTACCAGTGACTGTGACTCTCCCAGCAGCATCACCCATGGTGAAGCAGCTTTCTCTGCGGAGGGATTGAGATCAATGTGATTGCTTATTTGCATACTCACTGTGCACAAATTATTCTGGAGACTCAAGGTGAAGTCAGACATCTTGACTCGCTCAGAATTGCCCTCCGCCAGGAACTCACAAACGTCTGTACGAATGTGTGATCCTGAGTGCGGGCTGCTTTCTGCTGGCCCTGAGTAGCGATTTCACCTTTCCTCCTTTTCTCACACCTTTAAACATGTGCCTGCCTTGTAGACAGGGAGAGAAGGAAGTTGTCCCTTCCCGTCTCCCTCAGGGTCCCACTGTCCTCAGCTGGCAGCACTGGCCCGTGCTCCACCTGGGAGCTGAAACAGGAAGGAGTGCTGGCACCTCTCAGATGGCACGTGTGCTCTGCCGAGAGCCCTTGTCGCGGACAGTTGGGCTTGCACGGGGTCTTAACTGCTTGGGACCTTTCCATTTGTCCTCAGCATGTGTGCAGTGAGGAAGCCTTTCTTCTGGAGCTGAAAGGAAGAGGATGAGAAAGTTAATGCTCTCCCACAGTCTTGCCGTTCACCTGCACCTGACCCCAAGGTGGAGCTTTCCAGCAGCAGGCAGGCTCCAGGGCCTCCACACACACAGCCGTATCATTTCAGGACAGCTGCTCTCCTGGTTTCGGGTCAGAAGTTCTTAGAGTTCATCTTGAGCTTCTGCCTGCCACAGACCCAATTCTTTGAGGAATCTAGAATGGTACCACAGAGAGGAATTCAGTGTCTCTGTAGATATTATATCCCCAGTAGACATTTTGGGTCATATTAGGACCTTCATGTACAACTGTGCAGGGCATTCACTGCACAACGCTAGGGTATGCCACTTACACTACGGTCTGTGTGGATGGTGCCCCCTGGAGTTGTTCAGGGTGAAATTTCCACAAAGGTACAAGGCAGACTTTGTGATTGCTTCAAAAGGATAGTGTGTTTGACTTGCCTGGGAGTCATTTAAGCAGTGTCACTCAAAGCTTTTTGTGACATGCTTTCTAGGTTTCAGAAGGTCTGTGAGGCATTAGAAATGACTTGAGCTCAGTGTTACATCTGGAAAGTGGTCTGGTATCATGGGGGGCTCCTGAAAAGACTTGAGAGGAAGTTTAGAGAAAGATCTGGATTTAGGGCTATAAGAACTTTATTTCTTATAAGAGGTACTGTCAGATTCCTATTACAGTGGCTTATTACACATGGGTGTGAACAGGCAGTGCATACACACACACACACACACACACACACACACACACACACACACACACACACACACACACACACTCTCTCTCTCTCTCTCACACACACTCCTTTCCATGCCTTAGAGAACAGTCTGGGGATAAGAGTTAGAGAATTGGATTTGATTTTGGTGGAAACTTGTTTGTGTTTCTTTTTAACAAACTTGCCATAGGATTTTCTATAAATTACTTTGGTCATTGTAAAGCCCAAAAGGTTCTTCTGAAAAGTATTTTCTGAGTTTGCTTCTCACATTCCTGCTCTTCTAGCCAGTGGTAACAAAAGCCTTGATAGATGTACCTTAGGAAGTGGAATTGGGTAAAACAGTCCCGTTTGGGTTGGCAGACTTGGCACATTCTATAGAGCACTGGAGAACATATTTTGGGTTCCATTGTCATAGTTAACCCTTGGTGTGGTAGTACACAATATTTCCTTTCTAACTTTCTACATTAGTTAAAGGAGAGAAATCTCTGCCATTTGCTCGTCTGTGTGTTTTGTTTGTTCTTTTCTCACCCCATATATTAGGCCTCTCTTCCCTTCTGTTACATGTAAAGAGGTAAGGGGGTCACCTCCCTTGAGAGGCAACTCCCTCTTCACTGAGTGTAGTGTTTGTTAGCTTTCTTATGGCCTCTTCCTATGATAAACACAGTCCCTACCCCCTAGAAGCCTTTTGTCTAAATGATGATTTCCTCAGTCATGAGCATCTCAAATCTGTGTCCTAAACGGACAGCTTCCCACGGGCAGAAGAATGTTCAAGTGCCTTCAAAGTCTCTTGCCAGGACCTGGAAGTGGGTGAACACCGTGTTAGAGATGACAGAGAAGCCTTTGGGCGTGCGGATGCTGACACCCCTTGAAGTAAAAGCGTTTCTGTGTCCAGTTGAATGTTTACTTCAGGCTCTGAGATCAACCAGAACTAGGCTCTCCTGCCTGTTCTGGGACTGCCAGGTGGTACTTTGCCCCTCACCTGGGCAAAGGACAGACAGGGAGATGGTGCTCTGCCGGCACCTGAGACACTGGCCTCAGGAGGAGGCCCGTGAACTGATCTCCTCTTTTGAAACATTTTATACCAGCCGGGCTTGGTGGCTCAGCCTGTAATCCCACACCTTGGGAGGCTGAAGTGAGTGGATTGCCTGAGCCGACGGGTTCGAGACCCGCCTGGGCAACTTGGCGAGACCTCATCTCTACAATAAATCAAAAATCAGCCGGGCGTGGTTGCGCACGCCTGTAGTTCCAGCTACTTGGAAGGCTGAGGTGGAAGGATCGCTGGAGCCCAGCAGGTCGAGGCTGCGGTGGCTGGTGGCCACTGCACTCCAGTCTGGGCGACAGAGTGAGACTCCAATTCAAATAAATAAATAAATAAAATAAAATAAAATAATAAAACATTTTATACCAAGGAACGTAGCATGTTTAACCAGCAGCGCTGAACAGGAGGCTGAAACAGATTTCCCACACGGCACGGGCCCCTTGACTTGAGAGAGAAGAGTTGCCTTGCCTGCAGCAGGTGGCTCCCAGCCCTCAGATGGAGCCCGCACTCTGTGGCATCTCTCCATGACAGTCTCCTTCCAGAGTCTCACGCATGCTCGGGTTTCCTCCTTGTCACTGTCCTTTCTCTTCGAAGTTGGCATCGATAGACTGTGAGATCCTTGAGGCAAAGGTGGTATGTAGATACTCTGAAGCACACAGAAGTGTATGGGCATTCTGTTCTCATTTCTGTCAGGCAGCTGCCACGTATGAGTGGGGCTGTGAGGGGAGGGAGGACTCTTCAGACCTGGGATAAGGCAGTCACCTCTGCAGAATTTCTCCCTGGTCCCATTCCATGTACACAACCACAAGCAGACTGTTGAGATACCAAGGAGAGTTAGGGTGGAGAGTGGGGATGGCTCCATTCAATTCATCTTCCTTAATCACTTTTTAAAAAAAGAGCTTCCTTGGGGGGACCAGGTTCAGTATGTAGTCAGCAGAGCCTCATGGTAAGGCCTGAGTTCTCATCCAGACCCCACCATGTGCTAGTGTGACCTCAGGAAAGTTGCCTAACCCCTCTGTGCCTGTTTCCTCATCTGTAAAATTGGAATGGAGATAATATTTGTGGTGTGGGATTAGAATGAGGATTAAAATGAGTCAATCTGTGTAGCACACTTCGAGTCAGGCCTGGTACCTAGTATGTGCTCAATAAATGTTAGCTGTTATTATTAGGAATATTAGCATACTCATTGTATAAGATAGAGGAGAATAGAGGGAGCGTCCCCTCTCACGGATACCCATCCAGTAGTCTTGAAGCAGCCCAGATAATTCCTGGTTCTATTTTGCCCCCCCTCCTTATTCCCAAAGCACATGCTGCAGCTCTAAGAGAAGCCCCTCCTAAAACTTTCATTCCCTTGACTCAGAATGGGGACCCTCTGCCTCAATAAGCAAGAGATGTGAGCAGGTCAGGCAGAGCAGCTCTAGAAGCTGGCACAGCTGGCACAGCATTCACTGCCCCTGGGAGGTGGGCTCTCAGGCTGGGTCTAGCGGTTTGCTCCACTCCTACCTGAATCCTCCTCATGTGGGTCTCCCCTTTCCTTTCATGGATCAAATGCTCTGGGTCAGGCTTGAGGATGGCCATAAGTCCATGAGAAAAGAGATCTTTCTTTTACCACCCGCCAATCCCTTATCTTCTCCTAAGAAGCGTGTGTCCTTCCAGCTGGGGCACAATTGAGGGGCATTTAGATTAAAGGGGGCTGGAGGCTGGACAGACTCTGGGGATCAGGGTGGATGGAGATGGCAGTATGGTCCCTGCCTCCTGCCTTCTCCTTCCAGGTGAACCCAGGCACTCTCCTCCTCCCTGTTTCTTAAAATAACTCCCTGTGTTTCATCTGTTCATCTAGGGAAAGAAGAAGAAGAGGAAAAGGGACAAGCAGCCGGGAGAGACCAATGGTAAGTTCCAATCCTCAGGATAGAGGAAGGAGCAGTACCCCGAGGACCACTCTGTTATGTTAGGCTTCCATGTGGGGGAGGCAGGAGAAATTCAAGGCCAGGACATTGTGGGGGAACCCCCATCTTAGCCAGCCTTTTTTGTTTATGCATTTCAATTAATTGCTTCATGACTGCCCTTTTAAAGCTAGTAACATCCATTGTTGCATGAAAAGCACATTGTAATTCTAGCCGAATGTGTTTTTAAATAACTGCGAAGCCTCCACCTGGAGAGCTAGCGCGGTAGGCATGCCTATGCCGGGGTTATGCAGTCTGCTTATTTTGTATGTGTCTGAAGAGGGATGAGGAGGGGGCTTAGGGGACTAGGAAGGGGGTGTGTGTGAGTGTTTGGTATTAACTGGGCTGTTCCTGAATGTTCTGATGCATGCCTTTACAGTGGTAAATTACACCCATTTTAAATTAAGGAGGTTTGTCATTCTCTAGAAGAAATTAGAAATACTGCATAGGCAATCTCAGAGGTCCCTTGAAGAAGGCCAGGCTTTTACAAACAAACAAAAATTTTGAAGGCTTTGTATAATTTGTTCTTTTTTTTCAGAACACAGCGAATGTTTCCTAAATCCTTGCCTTTCACTTCCTCCGATTACAGGTGCTAATGTCATTTTGAGTCATTAAAATAGTTGATAAACTGCTTTTTAATTTTTCTTGCCATTATAGTTTTATTAACATTAAACACGTATGACATTTGAACATTCTTTAAAATGACCATCTACACGGTTTCGTATGTTTCAGTAGATTTTTTTTGGTTGCTTTTGTTGGTTTTTTTTTTTTAATTATTTAATTTAACTTTTGTTTCATTTATTTATTTATTTTTCCCATAACCATTGTTTAAGCAGTGATGACAGTGATTTAGAGTTGAACTAACTGTGCAAATTGAATATGCAGTATTTCTTTAAAAGAGACTGGTTAAAAGAAAATGGAAGGAATTCAGTAATAAACCTCCTTAATCTAATGGCATTTTTTTCATTGCTCCCACTAAGTTTTCTCACGCAAGCATGCATCCGCAGTATGATTATTTTTTCCTTCGCTTTTTTTTATTTTAGTTTTTTTCTTCCTTTTGCTTTTCTGCTCATCATTTGCAAATCCACTAGCATTTACTGACTGCCTGCTTAAATGCTATGAGCTTCTAACTAACCCTTAACAGCTCATTCACATAGCCTGTTACCTTTATCTGTTCCTCTCCTAATATTAATGAGAATAGATAAAAAAGAAAAGATGAACATTCCAAAAGCTGCAATATCCCAGTACCACAACCCTTTTCTTTCTTTATTTCTTTCTATTTTGTTTCATTTTGGTTTTTTTATTTGTAATTTTTTTTGTTTTTTTAAACTGTTGTACTCTGAGAAGAAAAAAGCATGTTACAAACTTAATTCCCTCCTGCGCTTTATTTTCTTCTTTAAGAAAAACGAAATTGAGAGAAAAAAAGGGAAAGCAGAACTAAAAGAGGAAAAATGTTTGAAAGAGTGAGTTCTTCAGTATCTAACTTCCCTTTGTCAGCTCAAATCGAATATGAAAGACAGTCCTTAAAGAAGGGATACTGCAGCTTTATTTGCAACAGCTAATTTCACAAGTTGAATAAGAGTGTGATTTTTTTACCTTTTTTTTTAATTAAAGAAAATTAAAAAAACAAAAGTCGATATTTTGCAATTAGTAACCAGGTCATTGATTTATTCCCTTTTTTATTTTTATTTTTTTCTTATTTGTATCTTTCTCTTCCCCCCCTTCTCTCTCTCTCTCTCTCTCTCTCTCTCTCTCTCTCTCTCTCCCCCTTCCTCCTACGTCCTCCTCCACTGCTCGCTTCTTTCTTGAACTCATTCAGACCTGAGCGCTCCTAAGAAATGCCGAGCGCGCTTTGGCCTTGATCAACAGAATAACTGGTGCGGCCCTTGCAGGTGTGTATAGTTTCCCAGATTCGCTGTGCTGGTTTGCAGCTGGTCTATTCGATCCTTTCCCCCTTCTCTGGCCTGTTGCTTTGTAGCTCTGTGTGTGGATCTTAGGAGACACGAGGGAGTGGGACACTGCCAAGTGTGTGGGCTCTATGAGGGATGTGCTTGTTCTCCTGCTGCTGCTAGCCAAAATGCCACTGTAAAACAGCATCATTTGTGCCTCGTCGGGTCAGCGACAGCAAACCCCAGCGCGCCCCCTCCCAAGGAACGTTGCCTGCCAGCCCCCTTCCTTGTGACAGCCAAGGATTGTGATCCTGGCCTAGGTAGAAGCAAATGACGTCACCTTCTCCCCTCCTCTTCTCTGTTTTTATTTATTTTTTCATTGTTGTTTTTTGGTTTCTGGTTGTTGTTTTTTTGTGTGTGTTTTATCGTTTTATTTTATTTTGTTTCTTTTGACTCATAGAAGTCCTTTCCTTTCATGTCCTTGGCGAGGGAAGATTGTCCAGTAGAACCAAGGTGATATAGAAGAAAAATAAGCTGTAGCTGAGATTTCACATCCGACTGAGCACGACCCACCATTGTGTTGTATTTTTTGTGTTTACCTTATGCTAACAGATGCAAATACTCCAAAGAAGTGTCGGGCACTGTTCGGGCTTGACCGACAGACTTTATGGTGCAAACCGTGCAGGTATATGACCACTGCGAGGCCTTTGGGAAAAATCAAAGCATTCTGTCCTTCTGGTACCTTAGTGTGACGATTTATTTTGACCTCGTTCCCATCTACTTCCCCCACTGGCATCAATAACTAATGATCCTCATTCTTCAACATTTCCTTGCTAATTTTATGCCGTTTCCTCCCCTCCCACTTTCTCTTTCTCTCTTCCCTCCCCTGCTCTCATGAATAACATATCCCTGGTGGCAGGACTGAGACCACAACCTTAACAACAAGGACAGGCACTTATCTTTTTGCTTTGAAAGCCAGCATCCTGGAGCTGGCCTGGCCCTGTGAATGCCTCAGTGGCCTGCATACTGTGCAGAGAAAGCCATTCTGACCCAAGGTTTGAATGAGTTAAAACTTGGCGGTAATCAAGACACTCAGAGGAGTGCTCTGGGGCAGGCTTTTTTTTTCCTTTTTTTTTTTCTTTTTGGTTTTGTTTTATGTTTAAAAACCACATATCTGTACAGAGGAGCTTGGTTAGCTGACATTGTTTTACAGTGCTGAAAAAGAAGCGTGGCATTGAACGGCATGCACCAGCTAAAGGGCTGCAAGCAGTGAGCCGTGCAGTTGTGTACTGCAGCGTTGCTCGGCCTGCAGACTTTAAAAATACATCATCTATATATGTATGGATATAGCATTGGTTCCCCAACGAACCAGAATCGCCCAGAAGTGTCCAGATTAAGCGCCCATGTTCCACCTGCAGGTTTCCATCCAACCTGTATTCTCAGGGAAGGTGTAGGTACTTCCTTCTTGGTGGAGGGATACCAACTCGTTCTTGTCTCATTTCCTTTCCCTTAATGACCACCTTTGGTTAAATTTGTTGTTTCTTTGTTCTGATACAAGCAGTCTTTGAATTTGGAATATTATGATGGTAGGTATCTCAACACCCCCAAACACGCTTCCCTGTTTGTAGTGCCTCCCTCGTCACGTGTCCCTCCCCATCATGACTTTGCCGTGTGCTCCGTGTTTAGACGTTAGCTCAGATGTGCATCCCATTACGTGCATGCCCATGAGTCTCCTGTGTCTCCTTTCCCCTCCTCTGACGCCAGTACGAGAGATCGGTGAAGTGCCTCGCGTTGACCAAACAAATATTAGAGGAGAGAGGGCCTGAGAGTAACCTGAGAGTGATTTCACTGAGAGTAACCACACGGACTACCCTCGGCCCATGGACTGAGGGATTTGGGGCCCCCATCGAACACCCAGCAGGAGAGGAACTCTTTAGTCATCCTGTGACATAGTAGTGTTCACAGAACTGACAAATGTCCCCTGGACATAGTCCTGGGGTCTTCTCTGGACAACAAAGTTTCGTGTTGAAGTTGACAAAGGATGTTAGGCGCTTAATTAGGACTAGCCGGGGAAGACAGGGACTCCGCTAGGCAGTGAAGTTGTCAAAATGTTGTTTGCGCCCGGTGGGAGGATAACTAGCTGTGGAATCCTGTTCCGGGATGCCCTTCCATAACCAATGACTGGCCAACCCCAAAGACTGATCTGTGGAAACATACAGCAGACACCATTGTACACACCTCACAATAAGGCTGGTTCAGATGCCAGGCTTGTTTATTTTATTCTTGGGGGATGGGTAGTGGTTTATGAATCCCTTTTTTGTTTTGGAAGCAGTTGTTGGAAATTGACCTTGGCAGTTTTTTTCCCTCTGGAACATTTTCCTAACATGGACCCAAACAGACATCGTCTCCTCAGACATAGCTCACACCTTGCTTAAAATCCAGATGTGGTATCTTCCTCAGAGACCAGAATTTTCTTGATGTTTTTACCAGCAACATATTTGCCAACCCAAAACCTTTGTAGCTGCTTCATGTCTATCGTGATTTCCTAAAATGCAGCTCTGAGGGACTGTCAGTGTGGCAGCATTTCTGTCATGGATGCTAAGTAAGGCCTCTGGTCCCAGGAGCCAGGGTTCAGCAGGTGCTCAGCATTGCCCAGTTTTCTTTCCAACCTCAGCACCATTAGAATTTTCCCGTCACCACGTTCCTTCTGTTGGGGATGTTTTTCCATCGTATAAAAGCACTAGTGAGCACATGTCTGCTGCCTTTGAAGGGTGTTATTCCAAAACAGGATCAGGAAGAATCCCTAGTTTCCTTTCAGAGCACGTCCGTAAGCTAGAAGTAGGTTTTTAAGAGGCCACCCCTCTGACTGGAGATGAAGCGGGTGGGGGGCAGTGGGTGGAGTATGGGCTTTGTACAAGTAGTTACCTGTCCCTTTTTTCCCCCCTCAACCTTTCCTTTTAACTTTGCCGTGGCCATGACTGACTTGATGCTAAATTCAATAGGACAAAAAATGTGCTTTAAGAAAAGAGAAAAAAAAGCAAAGCAGTTGCCAACCGAGGCATTTTCTAACTCGTCAGAAATGTGTGTGTGTTCCAACTGCCCTCTGCCCAGCCACCGTTAGAAGGCCCATCATTCTGTCGTCATAGTCTTCATGTCCCATGTTTCAGATGCCCCACTCATCCTCATGATCTGGAAACCTCCATGTCATAAGGAGGGTGGGGGAGGGGTGAGGAAAGCACCAGAAACAAAACACTCCTAGACAATCAGGGCTCCTAGCTTGCCACACAAGGTTCTCAGCTTTATTTGGCATTTGTCGACATTTTAACCAGATTCTGTTTTGAGCCCACCAAGTTGCTTTTCCCGTCTTTTCACTCTGCCCTAATATAGCATGGAATGCTGCTTGATGCCGTTCCCTTGTCTTCCTGGCTGTTCCCCCTTCTTCTCTCTCTCTCCCTCTCCTTCCCTCTCTCTATTTTTCCATGTTGCTTTCTCAGTTTTGCTTATTTCCTCCCCCCACCCCCCCTCCTTTCCTTCTCCCATTTTTAAAATGCATGGACATCTTAGTTTCTGAGCATGTTTTGATCTGCAGGCTAAGGTGGTTTAAAACTCTGAGAGGCTTAATTATTTAGCTCCGTTTCTGGGATGGGAGCAGAACCCACAGTGTATTGTAGTCTATCCCAGGGAGGAAAAGGAGCTTCGCCAAACTGCGAGTGAGAGAGGGGCCCGCACATGCTCCCCGTGAGTCCCTTCAGGTCCAGAGGGGACAGACAGACCCTGAGGCCACCATTCCCGAAGGGCCTCAGCCTCTGGGAGGCAGGGAGGACTGAGCATGGTCCCTTCCGCCCCTCCTCTCGCCTCCTTCCCTACCTTCCTGCCATCTTGCTGAGTCCGCACCCCACGCACTGAGAGGCATGACCAGACAGCTCTGGGACACGGCCTGAGAGGAGTAGCTCGGTATACACCTTCCTTAACAAGGCCCGTGCCATCGTCCGACAGCGGTTGCCTTCAAGCGGGCAGCATCTTGGTTGCTTTCAGCGGCTGCAGCTGGCCAGCGCTCACACACTTGTTTGTTGTTGGCGTGTTATCAGCCATGGTTCTGGCTAGATTCTAGGGTCCTCAGACGAGCACACTTCCTGTATCTGCATTATTTTTACAGCATTAGTGGGGCTGATCCCCACGATCACCTTTCCTACCAAATACTTTCCCGTCAGACGGGGACGAATGGTAGGAAAAGCTTTGAAGTCACATGCTCAATTTCTTGAGTTGATTTCCCCCGACCTCATCCTTTGATGCTAAGCAGGAAAGGCTCTGGAGTTCTCATTCCTGTTTCTTACATGAACGGGCAGTGAAGAAGGGAGATGCTGGTTTCGGTGCAGGGCCACATTAGGCTTTCTGGTTTAAACACGTTTCAGAAACCCCAACCCCGGGAAGGTCCTTGTTGCGGCTCCCTGGCACTTCTTGTTTGTTGTTCGTCACTTCTCTGTGACGGGCTTGTGCTGCACCCTCCATCGACCGGCCTCGGCATATTGACGAGGGCAGGGCGCCCTCCATCCATGCCATCCTTGCCATCTCTCCTTCCCACCGTCTCACCGTGGGGTGGGGGAGGGGAGAGCCCCCACTCCTAAAAAAAAAACCGAAAAGCGACTCAAGTTTGAATCTTGGTTTAATCCACAACCTGCAGGCCATACAACCAGTTATTCTCGTTCCTTTGACTCATTTTCTGTTTTTCTTATTCTTTCCCCTCCCCCACCTTTGTTTATTCTCTTCTACCTGTTTTATTGGTGGTTTCTTTTGTTTTTTGGTTTTTTTTTGGTTTGTTTTTTTTTTTTTTAAGTTTATTTTGTTTTGTTTTGTTGCCCCCCTCCTTCCCTCTCACCTGATTCTGACCTCTCTTGATTTGGTGTGGTTCTTAACAGACAAGCCCAAAGGCTCTCTGGGCGCCAGCAGCCTCATGGTGGTGGTGGGTTAAAACCTTTAAGCCTCTTGCTAGCGCTGCCTTCAGCTATGTGGGCTCAACAGTGAGCATTTTGAGAGTTTCATATTGATATGAGGCGGCTGGGGAAGGAGCTCTGTCTTTCTCTTTTAAAAACACACAAACACACACACACATCATGGGGGAGGTGGGGGGATGGGGGGTTGGTAGCTGGGGGGGGGGCTGCGGGGAGGAAATGTGATGGGAAGGTGGGGGAATGCCTAAGTCCCAAAGAGAAAGAACAAGCATTCTCAGATCATCTCAGCCGGGACGGAGCCGCTTTCAGGCCCATAGGTGCCACTGCCTGCAGGTGGCCTCCTCTGCCCTGCTCACTTACGTCCTGGCAGGGTGAGGCTGTGCCCTTGAGTGCGGGTGGGGGAGCAGGTAGAGCGTTGTGACTCTTCCATTTTGATTTGCCAGCGCAGGCTTAGATGTTGGGCACCAGGAAGGGAGCCACCCACCCCAGGGGGCACCACTGTAATTGTCCTCAGGCCACCGGGCGTGCCATCTCTGCGGGGCATCCCTTAGGTGACTTCAGCTTAACTGTGAGCATTAGGTAACTCTCTCCCTTGGCGTCTTTGCCCTCTATTCACAGATAACTCTCTCCCCCTGTTTCTAGGAGAAAAAAAAAGTGCGTTCGCTACATACAAGGTGAAGGCAGCTGCCTCAGCCCACCCTCTTCAGATGGAAGCTTACTAGATTCGCCTCCTCCCTCCCCCAACCTGCTAGGCTCCCCTCCCCGAGACGCCAAGTCACAGACTGAGCAGACCCAGCCTCTGTCGCTGTCCCTGAAGCCCGACCCCCTGGCCCACCTCTCCATGATGCCACCGCCGCCTGCCCTCCTGCTCACCGAGGCCGCCCACAAGGCCTCTGCCCTCTGTCCCAACGGGGCCCTGGACCTGCCCCCCGCCGCTCTGCAGCCCGCTGTCCCCTCCTCGTCGCTTGCACAGCCGTCAACATCTTCCTTACATTCCCACAGCTCTCTGGCCGGGACCCAGCCCCAGCCGCTGTCCCTCGTCACCAAGTCTTTAGAATAGCTTTAGCGTCGTGACCCCCTGGTTGCTTTGTTTGTCGTTCTGCTCTGATTTTATTTGCCCCCCTCCTTTGAAAGGTTTTTGTTTTGTACTCTTTTAATTTTGTGCCATGTGGCTACATTAGTTGATGTTTATCGAGTTCATTGGTCAATATTTGACCCATTCTTATTTCAATTTCTCCTTTTAAATATGTAGATGAGAGAAGAACCTCATGATTCTACCAAAATTTTTATCAACAGCTGTTTAAAGTCTTTGTAGCGTTTAAAATATATATATATATACATAACTGTTATGTAGTTCGGATAGCTTAGTTTTAAAAGACTGATTAAAAAACAAAAAGAAAAAAAAAGAAGCAATTTTGAAGCAGCTCTCCAGAAGGAGTTGGTTCTGTATTATTTGTATTAAATACGAGCTTGCGAACCAATCATTTTACATCTGGTTTTTAAACCATAAGGGCACGACGAATGCAGTGCCATTACTTTTTTTTCTGTGTGAAACAACTTTTATTGTGATGTTACTTGTTATTGTTTAAATGTACAGAAACAAAGGGTTAAAATGTGTTAATATACCTTGTTCCATGGTGTTGTTCTTTTGGGGGGAGGGGTGCTACTCAACAATTAATGGAATCACCGCGCTGTTGGGCCAGTAGTATTTATTGCTTTAGAGATTGCTTGTTGTACCTGTATGTCGTCCCTTTTAAAATATGTTCTCCTTTTTCTTGAAACTGTATAAAGTTTTTTTTTCCCCCTTAGCATAAGCATCTTATATATAACAACTCATTTGTACAAGGTTTTTAAGTTTATATATAAAATGTGTATATATATTTTTTGTTTCCCTTTTTGACTTTTTTTTTTCCTGTATGAAACCCAGATGCCACCAAATGGACATTAATAGTTGCATTAAGGATCAGTAGCATTAACAAAAGTTGCTTTAAAAGCCATTATGTGAAACAAGACTTGAAAATTAATGAGGGAGTTTTAGCGACGCTGTCTGAGCTATAGTGAGAACCATCCTCGATTTTCCTTGGAACTCCCAGTGGGATGCCCTGCGCCCTTAGGACATGGACTGACCGTGTGCAAAACTCTATGTGCCAAAATTCTCAGTGACTTTCGCTTTCTCCCTCTTATTGATGCTGTAATTTTTGTTCATCATGTTTTGCTGTGATGTTACATAGGTAGATTCGTATGTAGTTTTAATGTCACCTATAACAAAATGTGTTTGGTAGCAGATTGTCCAGAAAGCATTTTAAATGAAGAGGTATAAACCCTTAAGGGCCAAAATTCTGTATATTAGATTACTCTTAAACAAAAAACCAGCTGCCGCTTTTATGTATATGTATTACATATGAGTAGGTAGCAGACTTTAAAAATAAAAAAAACCTAGGCATGTTGATGTTGCAAAATGCTGTATAAAGCTGAAACCTGTTCATTCAGTGCCATTGTAGTTGACATGAAACGATTGTAAAACTGTCTCCAATTTTTCTCTGGTTTATTAAAATGCTAACTATAACATTTTTTGTGAATACTTTGAATGTTTCCTAACAGTTGTGATGTTACTGTTCCGTTTTATGCTCTTATTCCAAGTTCATTTTTAATGGTTTGGAAGCCATTTTTGTAATGAATAAATGTTCATGCTGTACAGTATCTGTAGCATGCCGTTCTGGATTAATAAAAGCAACTTAGTATGTGCAGATAGAGGCTGGTCACTTGTTTCTGTGATGTGCATTTTATCTCTAGGGAAAGTGGACCTACCCTCATCAAGAGAGACAGTCCCAAATGGAACTTGGGACCATGTGATTATGGTGGGTGGTGACTTAGATACCAAAGAGTGATCTTAAAGGTGGTAGACTCCTCCCCCCTATGGTTTGTATAAAGTATCATTTGCAGTGAAATTGCCAGTATAAAAAGGGTTCCTTGGTGAGTGTCTTCCCCCATAGTGTTTGCCTGTGCCCTTGCCAGTAGTTTTCTGTAAACAAAGCACAATTACCGAGCAAGGTCACTTTTGGGGCTATAATCAGTGCCTCTGTTTATATTCTTTGCATCCTTTTCTAGTATCAAGCAGAAAGCGTTTAATTCTGGTAAATGAGACTTAGTTCACCAAGAGTGGACTCAAGATGCCATATTGTTACCAGTGAAGGATCGTCCATGTGAAGGTAACCTAACTACTTTTCTCTTTGAGTTGCATACGGGGACAGATACAAGGATACCTCATTGAAATATTGAGCAAGCAGGTTTTTTAGATCATTGGTTCAAGGTGATGCCTTTAGAGGTATTGCCATATGTGGGACCCACGTTTTTCAACTGTACCCCAGCAAGAGTGCAAATTCACCACCATCACCGTGGAGGGACCACACAGTACAGATCTTTCTAAGACTCCCACTGGATTTCATTGCTCTTACTGACTAGGCGGATGGATGTGTACATTGTTCCATTTATCTAGGACATCTATACCTTCAAAGGACGATGATTTCAATGGGCATGGAAGCCACTCGTGTTGCCGTTGTTGTGACTTAAGGTTACCACGGTGTCGCATCAGGGACTTTAAAGCCCCTTGGAAACTGCTTTGCTCCAGCTAGTTTTTGTTCTGTAAAATCTCAGTATTTTGTTTTTGCTTTGCTTTGTATTCCCAGGGAAGAGTGTTTTTGGTTGTCCTCCCTCATTGCACACGGGCCCGAGAATGACCTTTGAAAACACAAATAAGAACAATATCTGTTATTCGTGGCAGTGCGCCAAGCCGTTTGTGTACATTTTCTCATTTAATCCTAACACTACCACCTGAGGTAGAGATTATTATCGCCCACCACCCTCTGCTTTTTTTGCTAAAAATGGATTTAGGAACTCAGTTTTTAGTGTCTTGTCCGAGGCCACACAGGAGGTGGAGGGGCTGGGACTTAAATTCAAATCTGACTCCGAGCTCATGCTCTAACGCTGAGTTCCACCACCAGGAGTAATAAAGATGGCCTGTCCCCTCCCAAATAGAAGTGACAGGACAGTCCTTTTGAAGGGTTTCCTTATTTCCTCCTCTTCTTCCTCTGCCTCACGCACTCATTTCATCTCTAGCTGTACTACAGAGTTGAGCTACCTAAAAGCATTTTTGTTCTTCCTGCCTGGAAAACTACCCCGTCATGCTTCAGGTCTTAGTGTAGACATCCCCTTTGTGGATATGGTCCTGACTCCTCGAGGGTGGATTTTGTCTTCCTCCTGTGTGCTCCTGTAGTCCATCTTTCCCTCCCCTTTGACCTAGCCATCATTGCGTCAACGGGTGTTTCCTGCTTAGGATGCTGGAGGTGCACAGTGTTTCTTAACCTCTGCACTATTGACATCTTGGGCTGGATTCTTTTGTGGGGGCCTGTCTTATGCACTGTAGGATGTTTATCAACACCTCTCGCCTTCACCCACTAGGTGCCTGCAAGCATCTTCCCTCCACCAGTCATGACAACCAGAAACATCTCCAGACATCGCCAGATGTCCCCTAGGGCTCATCTCTGAAGAGAGCCCTCCAGGAGGCCAAGATTGTCACTTTTGTGTTCCCTGGGGCCCTGGTTTAGTGCCGGGGACATAGTGGGTGTTAGATATGTAACAAAGGAAGGAATGAATGAGGTTGGCCAACTCAACATCCGCATTATGGGAAGCAGATAAACAGAAACTTTCTATAAGGCTTCCACATTTTGTGTTCTCCAAACTACCAGGTGGTGACTTTAATCCTTTTAGCCATGCTTGAATGGAACTCAGTGCCCTGTTACAAGGGCTAGGAAAAGGGCAGAGGGGCTGTTTGAGTGCAGATCTCCTATCTAAAATTTGAAATATGAGTCACCTAGCCACATGGTTACCTGCCCTATAGCACTTGGTCGATACTTTGAGGATCTTCTTTCCACCCCTCTCTTCAGGTTTATCATGTTCTCAGCAGTCTAAGTTACAGTCTCCAAACGCCCAGCCAAGTCCTTGCCCTTCTACACTTCCTCTCTTTATCTGTTTGGTTTCTTCCTGCCTCAAGAATTTATTTTCAAACTGTGCACCTTATCCTTTCATCCAGAAGAGTGAATCTGTGTATCTTTGTTACTAAGAGACTCTGAGACAACATCTAGGAAATCATAACTCTCCCCGGCAGAGCCACATCATTCCCAGCCACTGATGGGACTTGCATACTAGGAGGGTGTGTATTTCCTGTGGCTGCCATAATGGGGTGCCACATTGAACACCAATATATTCTCTCACAGCCTGGGAGGCCCGAAGTCTGAAATCAAAATGGCAGCAGGACCATGCTTCCTTCAAGGACTCTGAGGCTCACCTGTTCCATGCCTCTTTCAGCTTCTGGTGTCTGCCTGTCACTCTTGGTGTTCCTTGGCTTGTAGCCACATCACTCCAGTCTCTGCCTTCATCCACATGGCCGTCTCTGTGTCTGTCCCACAATTCCCCCTGCCTCTTATAAGGAGACATGTGGTTGTATTTCAGGCCCACCTGGATAATCCTGGGTAAACTCCATCTCTAGATTCTTGACTTAATCACATCTTTTGCCATATAAAGTAATCTAAGTTTTAGGATTAAGATGTGGACATGTATCTAGGGTGGGGGCACCCTTCAGCCCACTACAGAAGCATGTGCCAATTCCAGAACAACTACAGTGTCTTAGCACAGAACCTTCCATTATGGACAGTTGTTCCACTGCTGGTGGTGGTCTTGGACAGGCCTATTTGGAAAGTGATGATTATAGTAGATGGTTTTCCATTTCAGATATTAGAAGTTTTGCTTTTTATTCTGACAAGGTGGATTCATGTAGGGTCAGATGGGCCTTTCATGTGGCTTCAGGAGTTCAAGAAAGGAAGCAGCTGAGAGCAGTGGAATGATCTGGGCTTGGAGGATGGCACATCTCTCTTGCTGGGTATCTTTGGGTAATTCCTTCATCTCTCTGTGTCCTCGTTTCTTCAGCTAACAAGTGGTGGCAGTGGTGTTCATTTTCACAGATTCTTATGAAGACTACAATGCAGAGTGCCTGGACTAGTAAATCAGTTTATTATTGTTATAAAAGAGGAAGGCCCATCGTCTATTTGTTTTCTCTGTTTCTCTTCGGGATTCTGTGAGTTCAGCTTTTCACATCCAAGTGACAGAATCAGAAATCCAAATGTGGAAGACATGTCCGCATGGCCAAGGAACAGACATTGAGACTTATCCACAGCCAGTCACTACCTGCAACCGAATGGCTCTGCAACTTAATGACTCCTACTCTTTGGGGAGCCACAGGCCTGGCTGGGGTGCTTTTGTGGTAGAGAAATGTGGCATAGAAATGTGTTTTTAATGAAAGCCCTTTGGAAAGGAAATAAGGAGTAGCCTAAAAATCTCTTGTGCACAGTGCCTGAGGCAAGTGCCTCAAACCAGCGATGGGACTCACTAATGATCTGGCCATAGATTTGATTTTCTAAAGGGTTCCCATCTGGGATTGGCTTCTTCATCTCCCATTCCAGGTCCAGTTCAGGACTCCTGGGCATGTGGCCCATGGCAGAGGCCTGCTGTGAAGTCTGGCATGAGTCTGATAGGCAGCACTGGTGGGTTTTACCTGTAAAGTTAGGATTTTTTTAAAGCTGGCATCTGATGCGTACACTTGGTGAGAGTTGTAAGCACATTCATTCATTCAACGACAATTTCTTGGGGACCTGTATGGATCAAGTACTGTTTTAGGCACTGGCACGTAAGTCTGCAGGAAGCCAGCTTAGTCTCCAGTTTTTCCTGGGAGTTCATTCCTGCACCATCTTACAGACCGGAGTTTTTAAAGAAAGGGACCACCAACGTTTCTGTGGCCTGTACAAGCTGCTCACCCAGAAAGGGGTTCTATGCAAGGATGATAACAAAAAGATGTGCTAAAAACTCAACTTGCATTTCTCATTTAATCCTCATGGGGATAGAACTGCTTTGATCGTTTTATAGATGTAGAAAGTGAGACTTAGAGAGGTTAAGTGGCTTTCCCTAAGGCACATATTGGAAGCAATGGGCCTAAGATGTGAACCCAGGCAGCCTGACTCAGGAGCCCACATAGCTAAACAGCATGCTAGAGGGCTTATTATAGACACGGATGGTCTGAGTAGCTGAAGAGAGGTGGAGGGTAGAGCTAGTATAACCCATGGCCTTGCAAGAGGACTTTGCCCTGGGACCACCAGGTGTTGTCTCTAACCATCTGTGTATGGAGAGGTTTGTTTTTTTTTTTATTCTAGTATCTGTGCATGTAATAATAACAGTTAAAATTCCATGGATTGAGCCATTTTAGACTCAGTGTTAGAAGTTATAGAATCCTAGAATTGGAAGAAAATTAGAAGTGTTTGTATTCTAATATTATATATACATATTATATGGGTTTTTTGGGTTGTGGGTTGCAATCTAGCAATAGGTCAGGAGATCAGTTTGGTGGATCAAAGCCAATATTTTTAAAACATAAAATTGAATGGAATAAAAATAGAATCTATTACTGCATGTGTGTACTGCATTATGTAAGATTGTTCTTACTGTGGTTAGAATAAAGTTTAAGAGCCAAGTCTGAACATTGATATTAGCTATAATATACTGAATATAATAATTTTCATACGCGAAATGCAGTATGCATGGTGTATAAAATGTAGTTAACAGAATAAAGTTTATTGGTGAACACTCACTAAGTATGTTACACCAGTATTTTCCAAAATGGGCATCCTGGAGCACTGAGTCCTATG